CTTGATCTTAAATCTGCCTTTGATATTGCAAACAAGGAAATTATCCTTAAGCAACTAGCTAGCTTTGGTATTCAGGGAAAACTGTTAACATGGATTCAAATGTATTTATCAAATCGATCGGCTCAGGTTCTCTTCAGGGGCATTAAGAGCACTTATACAAAAGTATTTGAACTTGGCACACCTCAGGGAGGCGTACTTAGTCCCATGCTATTTAATATCCTAATGCATAGATTACTGGGCGATATACCACTTGCAGGCAATGACTCCATTATTTGCTATGCCGATAACATCTGCATTAAATCCTCATCTGAGGAGAGAATGCAAGAGATTCTTGATATACTTTCTGCAAGGGCTACTGAGTGTGGCTTAATAATCTCAACTGAAAAAACCAAGGCACTTAATCCAAAGACAATCCCTCTGCCAAGGTTTAATATTGGTGACGTTGAGCTAGATCTCTGCCACCAATACAGATACCTCGGGGTGATTGTTAATGATTCAGAATTCATCAGAAACCTGAAGAAAAGGCTATGGGAGCGGCTGAGGCCACTTAAGACACTTGTCGGCAAAGACTATGGTATTAATGTCAATGTTACGAGACTCTTCTACTTGTCATACATAAGGTCGGTCATAGATTACCATGCATTGCACCTAGTATTGTTCAAGGAATCAGAGTTGACTAGTTTAGAAAGTGTACAAAATGAAGCCATGAGGATCATTATTGGTGCCCCTAGGACAACAAGGATTGTGAATATGAGAACAGAACTTAAATTGCCTTCTCTTTATGAAAGAATATTATACATTAATACCACATTTAGTGTCAAATCGATTAGAGAACCCCTCTACTGTACAGAGTTCCAAAGACAACTAAAACACAGAATAGAAGAGCTAACTTTGAATGACAACACCGATTCATTCTCAAATCCATGGGTACAAGTAACATGTAAACACTTAGCTCAGCTGAACATACCTATAACTAAGACTCTACATGGACGTTCTGTACCACCGTGGAAAATGTCTGACCTAAGTGTATATTATACGACTGCCCCCCAAAAAGACAGTGTCCCCCCTGCTATACTTAAGCAGTATGAATGCAACACTGACGGATCCTTGCAATCTGGGATCAGAGCAGGATGCGCCTTTGTTGTATATAAAAACAGCATTTTGCAGCACCAGGATTGTAGGAGGGTTCATGACTGGGCTAGCACTTCACAAACTGAGTTGGCAGGAATACTCATGGCCACCGAATTTCTATTGAATCAAGGCTCAGGGGTCATTTTCTGTGATTCACAGAGTGCTCTCCAGGCTCTGAACACTTTAGACAAAGGTGCGGGAAATATTGCAAATGACATCAGGGTAAACGTGTATCGTGCAAAAGAACGAGGCCATAATATACGTTTTGTGTGGATCCCATCGCATGTTGGAATCCCTAGGCATGATCATGCTGATCGCCTAGCAAAGTCAGCATGTGACAAGTGTGGATATAGATCTTGGGTTACCTCTTTCTATGATTTTATACATCATTAAAGCTTCCTTCAAAGAGGACTTGACTGAATTAATTAATTCTCAACGCCCCGAAAGCTGTAGCATAAAGCACTATGACCGGTCTAGGCAAGATTTATTTATCTATGGTTTAGACAGTGTGATGTTGTGACTGCAAGAATCAGGCTTGGATATAGAATGTATTGGTAGGTCAGTACAACTTGTAATGTCGACGAAACTAAGTGTAAACTGTGTAATGAAGAATATAAGCGAACACTTGTACACACTATATACACA